GAATGCAAACACTATCACTTAATAAGGTCTGAATGTTCAGTCTATGTATGCTATTCGCTAGGCTATAATCACAATACTAAGGAAATTGTACCTCAACAGTATAATTAAATGTTTCATACAGCGCGAGAATGGAAATCTTCAAATTGGATAAATAAGAGGCATACGTACTTCGAGAAAAAGTAACCGCTTTCTTCGTCGTTTTTTTCACCTTCCTAAAAAAAAGAAAAAATCAAAAATATCTCTCTTCAATTTGACGTCTGGTACGTCGTATTTCCCTTGATTCTGGAGAGTCATTTTCTTTTGCCGATTTCCCGTTCTTCAAACTCGTAATAATCTAAAAATGAAAAAACCGTTTTTAGTCAATATTTTCTTTCTTTTTATCTTATCTATGCTCTTCTACCCATCGTCCTCAACGTTTGTCGTCTCCAACTCACCAATTTTTCCTCCCACCATCCATCCATCTACAAATCTATTTGCAACCTACTCCCAACTTCCCACTTCTGACGACCATGGCTACCACATCTTCAACCTTCAATTTAACACCACCATTCCTTCCATAAACCTCGATCAAACCAATGGTAGTATTTCATCAATCGAATGTGATTCGTCCACCAATTCTATCACGTTAATATTATCCAAAGAGTCGTCCGAAAGTTTTATTGATGCTGTTGTAAACTGGCCTGATAAAGTAATGCTTCTAATCAGTCACAAATGGTTTTGCTTTGGGAGCTCGACAACTCAATTTTACCTGGTCGGCGATAAGACTGTGGATTCGGTAAACAGAAAAGTAAGGTTCAATTCGGAGCCTTGCGAGGTTCTGAAATGGACAAACGAGTTCTCGTTGGACCTCTCCTGGGTAAATAAATCTAAGCACCGTCAACACAAACATCATCAACACAAACATCATCAACACAAACACCATCAACACAAACATTCTCGACCATCTCATCAACAAAAGCGTGCAACATTAATAGACAAATCAGGCACCATTCCTCTTGACGGACTATTTGACCCCCGAACAGGGAAAACCTCACGTCCCAATATTCCCCTGAATTCCGATTTGGTTTGTGCAAACTGCTTCACCCACGGCAGTGCCAAAATTTCACTGAAAATCACTGGGTTTGGACCCATCGTTAATTCCGTTAGTTTAGAGATCAGCGGAGATCTTCTTGTAAACGTTGATATAACTACCAAGGGAATCACACTTAAATCTCCTGATGTGAAATTACTAGACATCCCAATAAGGTCCATCAAAATACCTGGTTTATTGAAAATCGGACCAAGTTTGATATTGGAGGCCGATGCTCAGATCAATTTGCAATTTAATCGAACGGTTTCCGTGGGGAGTAAATTGTCGATACCAGATTTTGACTTGAAGGCCAAGTTGAGCGGTCAACCTAAATTTGATGCAAATTTTAAGCCAAAATTTTCATTTCACAAGCCAAATCTCTCCATAAAAAAGACGGTAAGTTTAATCGGATCGTTAAAACTTCAGTTGGCATTGGAAGTGAATGCATTAGGCGGATTGTTTTCAAGGAAAGCGGGAGTGGAGGTGGTTTCGACACTAGGGGTACAGGTTAACTCGACAAAAGTTGTGGGCACATTAGGAGGAGATGTAGATTTTTTCGAGGGTAGTAAGACTTTTCCGATAGTAAAGTTTCCAAATTCAAAATTTACAAAAGATGTAAAAAGAACGAAGCGTTTTCTAGGAAAACGCAGCGCAAGAACGGAAGGTTTGCTTCTCAGAAAATCAGTTACTAAGAATTTGATGTAGCTTCTTAGCACCTGAAAAAACAATACGATAGGATAGATCACGTATACGGGATGTTATACATTATGTTTTAATAAAGTGACAGAGAATAAACCTGTTTTTTTTTTTGTCATACAGTATGATAGAAGTGTTAACGTTGATCTTCTGTGCTACGTACGGAAGACCTTTACCGAGCAATTCACATTTCTTTATCAAGTATTGTGTTCATGAAATCTTTATAAATGACCTAGTTATTTCAATTTGAATATCCTATTGTGGTTATGTGTGAGACACGGGCGTGAGAAAGATAGACCGTAGATGGGTTTCTATTTTAAGAAGCAAAAAAGCGTAAATGGTAACAAAGACAATAAATATATGTGCTAATAGTTAATTTTTTGTAGTGGTCAAACGCAAATGGATTCCGTGCATAACTATTTCTTTAATTTTGTGCGATCTTCACTCGTTTAATAATGAATATTGGTAACATCAAAGAGGAGACTACTCTCCATGATAAAAATGAAAGATGGAAAACATCGGTCGAATGCTGTAATAAGTTCCGTAAAACATGATACGTGCATTCATCATTATTTAAAAAAAATTGATATATATGCGTGCGTGCGCGCAACGCGGAAATTAACGATCTCAATTTTAAGATTTTAAGTGCGTATTTGCACACTGTCTTGACGAATATTATTGAGGAAACAAAGTGAGTCTTTCAAAACTTGGACCATTTTTAAGTGCGCACGTCGTACTTTTAGTACGAGAATATATCAACTTGGATTCTTTTTTAGGTGCGCACGCACGTGCTTTAATACCACACACTAATAAATTAATCACGTGATAAGTAACAGAAAGACGACACGTGTGCGATATGGGTACGTGATAAGTATCAGAAAGACGACACGTGTGCGATGTGGGTACGTGGCGAGTGTAGACATAATTCGTACAACATTGTACACCTCCTGAGATGGCATAAAGTACGCGCGCTAATACCCTATTCTTAAACATCAACTTTTTACCAAGATCGTGGAATTGCGCTGTATGAAGACAGTTTTGAGTACAGTACCCGTGCGGAAAGGTCGTATGAAAGACACAACATCTGTCATGAACAAATTGTTTGATCTTAGGTAGTAACAACAATCACCAGAAGCGTTTAATTGGCCGAAGAAATCCATTGTTTATGGGCCCCAAAAGAAAGAAGCACAATCATTTTTTATCTGAATATCCTTTTATATATAAATAATGTGCAAAAATGGTTTATTTTTTCCGTGATTTACTAAAAGGGTCACGCCAGAGTCGATATCTTACCACATTATGTAATTATTTGAAGGTCTTTCACAATATTTCGTATATCCGTACTACAATATCGCTGATATTCGGTCGGCTGAGGGCTTCCCGATAAGTATTGTGATGAGTTCTGAAACGAATTTGATATTAAATTTCTTCGGTCCACATCTAAAAAGGTCATTTGAATGCCTGCACACGGTTCAGACGGTTCTAATAAAAATGTGCGCGCGTTACGAGAACTCATGAAGACATGACTTCAGTGTAACCAGATTGAAATTCCCAAGTATGTCTAGGAAAGTTTAAGAAATAGATGCAATTTGCTTATAAATAACCGTATGGGTTCGCCGAAGTAACCATTACATAAAGATCCCTATCTTTATTAATAAAATTCGGTTTAAAATGACTTATGAAATCTTCAAACCAACCTCGGAACTTGTTTTATAATTGATTTATTCGAAAATGTACCATTTTTTTCCTACGTACCTCCCCTCGACAAAATGCAAGTGGATGGAAGAATCAATTCGTTCTTTTTTTTCAGAACAGTTCTCCATAATAACATTAAATGTTACTATGAATGTTTTGGAGCAACGCCGATTGAAAATTGCGAATTGTCAAGAATTCTTGGAAATATTTGGAGGTCGGCACCAGCAAAATTCCAAGAAGAGTTCGCAAAATTTGCAAATGATTTGAATAACAATAATCGTAATCTCATATATAAACCATACGATAATGTACGAAAGGAAAAAAAAAGATTGCAGAAGAAAAGGCCGATAAAAGAAAAAACCGACAAAAGACGTGACAATCTCGGCAGAAGAGAATGATAAATGTTAATACGACGCACCCTGTTGTTCAGGATGTCACGGCCCTTTCATTTAA